CCCGTGGTTAGGGCGATTTCTGTTTGTAACTTAATCCCAAAATTTAGAAAATCTCATTTTTTTGAAAAAATTCCATTGATTTTTCAGAAATAAAACCAGGAGGGTATGCAAAGGCCACTTTTACACATTTGTGCTAAACTTGGATTAAATCCATGCAGAAATAGACAATTTATTGGGCTTACCCTAACTTTTGCTAATTTTGGTCAGCATGTGGGGCCAACATTTTTTCTTTCTGGGGGTTAGAGGTCGTTTTGGTGTGAACCTCCAGGGGGGTTAGGGCAACCACTCTAAACCATAGGTTTTTGTTCTAACCCCCTTTAAAAATGTGGACCAAAAGTTTAAATTACATTTTGGAATTTTGTCCAGAACACTATTCCTACAAGGAAAAATAACTTGAACAACGTCAAACAAGGTTTAAATAGGGACGGAAACGAAAGCCCATGACCCCCCTTGAAGAATCAGACCTAACCTCCGGGGCTCAAAGTATAGGTGACAAAAGCTGGTACGGGACGCTAACAAAAGGACAAAAGTTGGTACGGGACGCTAACAAAAGGACAAAAGTTGGTACGGGACGCTAAAAAAAGACAAAAGTCGGTACGGGACGCTTACAAAAGGACAAAAGTTAGTACGGGATGCTAACAAAAGGACAAAAGTTGGTACGGGACGCTAACAAAAGGACAAAAGTTGGTACGGGACGCTAACAAAAGGACAAAAGTGGTGGTAACAAAAGGACAAAAGTTGGACGCTAACAAAAGGACAAAAGTTTACGGGACGTAACAAAAGGACAAAAGTTGGTACGGGACGCTAACAAAAGGACAAAAGTTGGTAAGGGACGATAACAAAAGGACAAAAGTTGGTACGGGACGCTAACAAAAGGACAAAAAACGCTAACAAAAGGACAAAAGTTGGTACGGGACGCTAACAAAAGGACAAAAGTTGGTACGGGATGGTAACAAAAGGACAAAAGTTTGTACTGGAAGCTAACAAAAGGACAAAAGTTGGTGCGGAACGCTAACAAAAGGACAAAAGTTGGTACGGGACGACGCTAATTTGGGTGGTATGCCAAAAATGCCAGCTATGAATTACAAAATGCAAATAAGGTGGTACTATAAGTTACAAAATGCCAAAGATTCCAGCTATAAGTTACAGAATGCCAATAAGTTGGTATGCCAAAATTGACACACATAATGCCGAAAATGCCAGCTATGAATTACAAAATGCTAATAAATTGGTACTATAATTACTAACCCCCTTTAAAAATGTGGACCAAAAGTTTCAGTTACATTTTGGAATTTTGTCCAGAACACTATTCCTACAAGGAAAAATAACTTGAACAACGTCAAACAAGGTTTAAGTAGTGTCGGAAACGAAAGCCCATGACCCCCCTTGATGAAACCTAACTCCCGAGGCTAAAAGTATAAGTGAGAAAAGTTGGTACTGGACGCTAACAAAAGGACAAAAGTTGGTACGGGACGTTAACAAAAGGACAAAAGTTGGTACGGGACGCTAACAAAAGGACAAAAGTTCGTACGGGACGCTAACAAAAGGACAAAAGTTGGTACGGGACGCTAACAAAAGGACAAAAGTTGGTACGGGATGCTAACAAAAGGACAAAAGTTGGTACGGGAAGCTAACAAAAGGAGAAAAGTTGGTGCGGAACGCTAACAAAAGGACAAAAGTTGGTAGGGGACGCTAACAAAAGGACAAAAGTTGGTACGGGACGCTAATTTGGGTGGTATGCCAAAAATGCTAGCTATGAATTACAAAATGCAAATAAGGTGGTACTATAAGTTACAAAATGCCAAAGATTCCAGCTATATGTTGCAGAATGCCAATAAGTTGGTATGCCAAAATTGACACACATAATGCAAAAAATGCCAGCTATGAATTACAAAATGCTAATAAATTGGAGCTATAATTACTACAGACGGTAGGGACTGTAACTATGAATTACAAAATGCCAATAAACTGGTGCTATAAGTTACAAAATGCCAAAGATGCCAGCTATAAGTTACAGAATGCCAATAAGTTGGTATGCCAAAATTGACAAACAAAATGCCAAAAAATGCCAGCTAGGAATTACAAAATGCTAATAAAGTGGTACTATAAGTTACTACAGATGGTAGGCACGCTAACCCCTAACCCTAACCCTGCCTTTTGACTAACAGTTCCATTGTTAACGTTCTTTGTGTCGTTGGAAAGGTCTTGAAGAGTTCTATACGCTGGCGACATGAAATTGTCGTTCAAGAGAGCAGAAAGTCGAATAACAAGCGATATTTTCAAAAGGCTTGCAAACGGCAAAAAATCTTTATTTCGTGACGGATTTTCAGGTTCTCGGGCTTGTCAGAGAGCTCTTGACAAGGTCTATCGAATGCCGTAAAGTGTAGAAAGCTCAAGCCATTTTCTGGGGCTTTTTAGAGCAAATATTGCCTAGGCATCTTCCAACCCTAGCAACTTTCCCCGTTTTTGATCTTTAACAACCATCTTCAGATCATAGACAGAACTTACCAAGAACTTTCCAATGACACAAAGCCTTTGAAAATTGCTCGAAAACTAAGAGAGATACGAACCTTTCAATTTGGCGTCTTTTTGCAACCCATTTGGAGCAGTTTTGGGGCATTTCAGCCAGAGCGATTCAGGTCAGGGTATAGAGGCCCTTACAAAACCCTTAATGAGAAGAAGAGTTCCCTTTCGTCCCAATTTTTCGACTACTGAGGACGTTGCCTTCCTGTCTCTCCGGAATTACGGCACTTTCTCTTCAAATGCCCATAGGTTGCACGCCCTTGGGACTAACAGGCTGGGCTTTGGTGTGTGGATTCCTTGAGGTCTTCTTCATCTTTGATGTAATCAGTTTAGGGCCTCTATCTTGCACTGTTTAAGCGCTATCGCCCGGAAAAAGAACTTAGCGCGGAACGCAATTTTACCCAGTCTCCGAGCATAACCGTTGTGGGGGGCACATGAGCAGCGTCTACTGAATCTTCCTCGGCAACGTGCAGCTTGTAGAGATGTGACCACTTTAACTTGTCCAATCCCTGTTTCAAACTTTCTAAGACTTGTGTACATTTTCCGCATGTTTAGTCCTTCATATGTTTAGAGAGAGAAGGCAGTTTTGCCAACTCTTTGCAGCTACCAAGAGTCCTTTTTAGTGTGTCTCACTGACATAATATTGATGTGTCAATTGCATACCATTCGCGAGATCTGGGAGGTTGAAAATGGTCAAAAAATCTGAAATTGTCAATTTCTAAGCACAATCTGCGGTGTAAAAAAGAAGCCATTTTACTCCTCTTTCCTGACACTTATGTTTTATGACTCTGATTTAATCGTGTTGGCCGGTTTCCTAGCTTTCCAACGAAACCAAACTCGTCTTGATCCGATGATAAATAAGAAAGTTATGAGCTTCGGAAAATTCTACTTTTTCCTTTACTATTGCTACTATCAGTGACTTTCACTTTCATTTCTCTCCAAGACTTTCACTTTGACTTTCAGTTGACCTAGATTGGCCATGACCTAGATTGGCCATCTTCGTTTTTAGCCCTATTCCTACTCCAAACCCTAACCCTAACCGTAATCTCTTAATTCTCATTGACCTACTTGGGCATTTAAATCCGTGCGCATTTTCGTTTTTATCCCTATAACCTATGCTTTAACCCTAACCCTAACCCCCACTAACCCTAACCCTTGCACTAACATTAATCCAAACCCTAACCCTAACCCTAACCCTGACCCTGCCCTAACCCTAACCCTGACCCTAACCTTAACCCTAACCATGCATATTTTTTCTTTAAAACTTGATCTTAACATAAAACCAGGGATGGAACATTTCCTCTCTATATGATTAATCTAATTAAGTTACAGACGGCCAACCCCAAAACCTCCACAGTTCTTTTTTAAAATCGGCCTTATTGAATCCATTAATTGTGCTACCATTGTTGATCTCGCTGATATCTACCTGCTGATATCATGATATAATTGATATCACCTGAGATATGGAAAATACAGACCCCGTGGTTAGGGCGATTTCTGTTTGTAACTTAATCCCAAAATTTAGAAAATCTCATTTTTTTGAAAAAATTCCATTGATTTTTCAGAAATAAAACCAGGAGGGTATGCAAAGGCCACTTTTACACATTTGTGCTAAACTTGGATTAAATCCATGCAGAAATAGACAATTTATTGGGCTTACCCTAACTTTTGCTAATTTTGGTCAGCATGTAGGGCCAACATTTTTTCTTGCTGGGGGTTAGAGGGCGTTTTGGTGTGAACCTCCAGGGGGGTTAGAGCTACCACTCTAAACCATAGGTTTTTGTTCTAACTACCTTTAAAAATGTGGACCAAAAGTTTAAATTACATTTTGGAATTTTGTCCAGAACACTATTCCTACAAGGAAAAATAACTTGAACAACGTCAAACAAGGTTTAAATAGGGACGGAAACGAAAGCCCATGACCCCCCTTGAAGAATCAGACCTAACCCCCGGGGCTCAAAGTATGGGTGAAAAAAGTTGGTACGGGACGCTAACAAAAGGACAAAAGTTGGTACGGGACGCTAACAAAAGGACAAAAGTTGGTACGGGACGCTAAAAAAAGACAAAAGTTGATACGGGACGCTTACAAAAGGACAAAAGTTAGTATGGGATGCTAACAAAAGGACAAAAGTTGGTACGGAACGCTAACAAAAGGACAAAAGTTGGTACGGGACGCTAACAAAAGGACAAAAGTTGGTACGGGACGCTAACAAAAGGACAAAAGTTGGTACGGGATGCTAACAAAAGGACAAAAGTTTGTACGGGAAGCTAACAAAAGGACAAAAGTTGGTACGGAACGCTAACAAAAGGACAAAAGTTGGTAGGGGACGCTAACAAAAGGACAAAAGTTGGTACGGGACGCTAATTTGGGTGGTATGCCAAAAATGCCAGCTATGAATTACAAAATGCCAATAAGGTGGTACTATAAGTTACAAAATGCCAAAGATTCCAGCTATAAGTTACAGAATGCCAATAAGTTGGGTACAGTCCACTAATTGTTTTCCCATAGGCGACAATGTTAACGTTTCGTCTCATAGCGATGTCCCTAATTTTCGTTCAGAAATGAGTGACCCCTCAAATCAAAGCACATCAACTTGTCTTTCCTTGGTTAAAATCTCGAGGTGGCATGTCAGATTCGTTTTCCGGCAAAATGCGTCTGTCTGCGGGAACCTCTAAAAATGAAAGTGAAAGTAGGGGAATTTCAGAGTTCTCACTGGGTTATAATACATAAAATAATTCGACTGATCTTCTTGATAAATTACATTTGCCAAGCTTTTTTGGTAGGAAAGATATTCCTTATCAACAAGTGTGAGGCTCGGTTCAGTACATCTGCCCATTTTTTTTATGCTAGCCTGCAAATTAAGGAACTTGTAATTTTTTCTGCACTACTTTCTTCTCCTACCGATTCTAAAAATAATTAGTGGGATGTACCCAATATGAAAAAGGATTTTTTTGATTTGACAATATTTTACACTGTTTGTCAATCTAGAGCATAAGAAGAGGCATCATGCCAAGTTTCATGAAAATTCAACCATTAATTAAGATTTTACAGCTTTTAAAGTTCTATGTGTAATATCCTTAAAAAATGCTCCAATCTAGCCAAAACTGCAGCCAAGTTTTAAGTCAAATTTTAGCCTATTAACACATTTATACTTTTCTAATTCACCTTCATATCTTTAAATACATATAGTCAAATCATAATCAAGCTCTTAATTGGGTCAATTTCACTTATTTTAAAAAATAAATCTATTTCCGCACAAAATATGACCATTTTTCACCCTATAATTCATATTTCTCCAGAAATGACAAAAAAATGAAGTTACCAAATACCCCGAAAGTAGTAAAATAAGAAAGTACTGATTATTTCCTGTCCATATATGTATCATTCATGAAATTTTGTCTATGAATAAAAAAGTTATAAGCCTTTACACTCCTATATAGAATCATTTGTTTCAAAGCAATTTTTATGCCAATGCAAATTTACTCATCTATGACGTCACAATGACATCATAATAATGGATAGCTCAATACATGTGTATCATCACTTTTCCCGTACTTTTCATGTAAGACAAAATCAGTGCTAATATATTCATGTTAACAATAAAAAATAAAATTATAAGGTTTTGCAGATTAAATAAATAATCTACTAAAATTGTTTTGTTTCCATGGTAACCAGTTTGTAATTTGTAGGAAAATGAGACAAAGTTTTGAATTTCCGGACAAATCGCTTAATTTTGACAGTCAAATATTTATGAAATTTCAATTTTTATATCCGTGTAATCTTAATAATGCATGATTTACAAAACAATGGTGTATATCTAATTAATATGAAATTCTTACATAAGAAAAGAAAATCAATATGAGCTGCAAAATGTATATAGCAGTGCATGTACAGATTAGTTATAGATTTATAGATTAATACTTTCACATTCAAATCACCTATTTAATATGTACATTTCCTCACCCCCAACCCTCACCCCACCCCCACTTCAATGATTTTTTCTTTTTTAGAAAACTTTAACTTACACATTTTGCCGACTGTCAGATTTTGCTGGTGATGTTTCTAGATGTATTCACATGGGTGTGTATTTGCTGGCCAATAATTTTAAACACCATCTGCATGAACCTCATGGTTTTTCTTTACCAATCGCCATGAACCTAAAAAAATCAATAAAATAAATGGCACAATATCACATTTGCAGACAGACACACACACAGACATTCAACACATACAATTTGACCATATTCCTTTTATGCCCATAACTTGAAATTAATTTAAAATGATGAATTTGCTCCCACTTGAAATCACACTGTTTACATTGGTAATTAAGTTATAATTAATTCAGCAGAATAGGAAAAAAGCATGTTTTACTGACAATAATTGTACTTTCAACAAATACATGTAATGCAATTGCTAAAAAATATGAGAAAAAATCAGTTAATTTGCATGTTCACACACATCGTTTAACTCCCAGACAGCTGTACCCAGCTTGACCGCGCAACTGATCTGAAATAATGTATGTCACATACGTGACGTGTCGATCATCATCTTCCAAAAACATTAAATTGCTACTTACAAATACTGTACTAAGGTATACCTCTTACATCCTGTGTAAAATACAAATGCCCATCACATATATACTGCTAAACACTGCACTGAACAGTTTTGATAACTTTCTGCTAAGTCTACTTTCACTTCGACCTTGACCCTGATTGAATACCGATCCCGACCTCATTTGTGAATTTTTGTGTATTGAAAATAAACCACAGTGGAGCATGTACTTCTACATAACTGCTTCCTAATCAATTTACATATTTATGATTCTGAATAAATAAATGATATAAATCGATACATTTAATCTACATGATACATGTGTAAACAATGGGCGATACATGTACGAGGATGTACGAGGAGGGGGGGGGGGGGGTGTTCTAGACACTTAATTTATGAATCAACAATTTGATTGAAAATGTGTATCAACAATATAAGAATTGTTTTTTTTTTCATAAATTTGAACAATTGAAAATATTAGAAAACACCAACTTTGAAATAAATTCAAGATCTATGACATCTTTCACTTACTTAAAGGCTTCCCAATATGGGTACAGTCCACTAATTGTTTTCCCATAGGCGACAATGTTAACGTTTCGTCTCATAGCGATGTCCCTAATTTTCGTTCAGAAATGAGTGACCCCTCAAATCAAAGCACATCAACTTGTCTTTCCTTGGTTAAAATCTCGAGGTGGCATGTCAGATTCGTTTTCCGGCAAAATGCGTCTGTCTGCGGGAACCTCTAAAAATGAAAGTGAAAGTAGGGGAATTTCAGAGTTCTCACTGGGTTATAATACATAAAATAATTCGACTGATCTTCTTGATAAATTACATTTGCCAAGCTTTTTTGGTAGGAAAGATATTCCTTATCAACAAGTGTGAGGCTCAGTTCAGTACATCTGCCCATTTTTTTTTTATGCTAGTCTGCAAATTAAGGAACTTGTAATTTTTTCTGCACTACTTTCTTCTCCTACCGATTCTAAAAATAATTAGTGGGATGTACCCAATATGAAAAAGCATTTTTTTGATTTGACAATATTTTACACTGTTTGTCAATCTAGAGCATAAGAAGAGACATCATGCCAAGTTTCATGAAAATTCAACCATTAATTAAGATTTTACAGCTTTTAAAGTTCTATGTGTAATATCCTTAAAAAATGCTCCAATCTAGCCAAAACTGCAGCCAAGTTTTAAGTCAAATTTTAGCCTATTAACACATTTATACTTTTCTAATTCACCTTCATATCTTTAAATACATATAGTCAAATCATAATCAAGCACTTAATTGGGTCAATTTCACTTATTTTAAAAAATAAATCTATTTCCGCACAAAATATGACCATTTTTCACCCTATAATTCATATTTCTCCAGAAATGACAAAAAAATGAAGTTACCAAATACCCCGAAAATAGTAAAATAAGAAAGTACTGATTATTTCCTGTCCATATATGTATCATTCATGAAATTTTGTCTATGAATAAAAAAGTTATAAGCCTTTACACTCCTATATAGAATCATTTGTTTCAAAGCAATTTTTATGCCAATGCAAATTTACTCATCTATGACGTCACAATGACATCATAATAATGGATAGCTCAATACATGTGTATCATCACTTTTCCCGTACTTTTCATTTAAGACAAAATCAGTGCTAATATATTCATGTTAACAATAAAAAATAAAATTATAAGGTTTTGCAGATTAAATAAATAATCTACTAAAATTGTTTTGTTTCCATGGTAACCAGTTTGTAATTTGTAGGAAAATGAGACAAATTTTTGAATTTCCGGACAAATCGCTTAATTTTGACTGTCAAATATTTATGAAATTTCAATTCTTATATCCGTGTAATCTTAATAATGCATAATTTACAAAACAATGATGTATACCTAATTAATTTGAAATTTTTAAATAAGAAAAGAAAATCAATATAAGCTGCAAAATGTATATAGCAGTGCATGTACAGATTAGTTACAGATTAATACTTTCACATTCTAATCACCTATTTAATATGTACATTTCCTCACCCCAACCCCCACCCCCCACTTCAATGATTTTTTTTTTAGAAAACTTTAACTTACACATTTTGCCGACTGTCACATTTTGCTGGTGATGTTTCAAGATGTATTCAAATGGGTGTGTATTTGCTGGCCAATAATTTTAAACACCATCTGCATGAACCTCATGGTTTTTCTTTACCAATCGCCATGAACCTAAAAAAATCAATAAAATAAATGGCACAATATCACATTTGCAGACAGACAGACACACAGACATTCAACACATACAATTTGACCATATTCCTTTTATGCCCATAACTTGAAATTAATTTAAAATGATGAATTTGCTCCCACTTGAAATCACACTGTTTACATTGGTAATTAAGTTATAATTAATTCAGCAGAATAGGAAAAAAGCATGTTTTACTGACAATAATTGTACTTTCAACAAATACATGTAATGCAATTGCTAAAAAATATGAGAAAAAATCAGTTAATTTGCATGTTCACACACATCGTTTAACTTCCAGACAGCTGTACCCAGCTTGACCGCGCAACTGATCTGAAATAGTATGTCACATACGTGACGTGTCGATCATCATCTTCCAAAAACATTAAATTGCTACTTACAAATACTGTACTAAGGTATACCTCTTACATCCTGTGTAAAATACAAATGCCCATCACATATATACTGATAAACACTGCACTGAACAGTTTTGATAACTTTCTGCTAAGTCTACTTTCACTTCGACCTTGACTCTGATTGAATACCGATCCCTCACTCTTTTGTGAATTTTTGTGTATTGAAAATAAACCACAGTGGAGCATGTACTTCTACATAACTGCTTCCTAATCAATTTACATATTTATGATTCTGAATAAATAAATGATATAAATCGATACATTTAATCTACATGATACATGTGTAAACAATGGGCGATACATGTACGAGGATGTACGAGGGGGGGGGGGGGGGGGTCTAGACACTTAATTTATGAATCAACAATTTGATTGAAAATGTGTATCAACAATATAAGAATTGTTTTTTTTTTCATAAATTTGAACAATTGAAAATATTAGAAAACACCAACTTTGAAATAAATTCAAGATCTATGACATCTTTCACTTACTTATAGGCTTCCCAATATGGGTACAGTCCACTAATTGTTTTCCCATAGGCAACAATGTTAACGTTTCGTCTCATAGCGATGTCCCTAATTTTCGTTCAGAAATGAGTGACCCCTCAAATCAAAGCACATCAACTTGTCTTTCCTTGGTTAAAATCTCGAGGTGGCATGTCAGATTCGTTTTCCGGCAAAATGCGTCTGTCTGCGGGAACCTCTAAAAATGAAAGTGAAAGTAGGGGAATTTCAGAGTTCTCACTGGGTTATAATACACAAAATAATTCGACTGATCTTCTTGATAAATTACATTTGCCAAGCTTTTTTGGTAGGAAAGATATTCCTTATCAACAAGTGTGAGGCTCGGTTCAGTACATCTGCCCATTTTTTTTATGCTAGCCTGCAAATTAAGGAACTTGTAATTTTTTCTGCACTACTTTCTTCTCCTACCGATTCTAAAAATAATTAGTGGGATGTACCCAATATGAAAAAGGATTTTTTTGATTTGACAATATTTTACACTGTTTGTCAATCTAGAGCATAAGAAGAGGCATCATGCCAAGTTTCATGAAAATTCAACCATTAATTAAGATTTTACAGCTTTTAAAGTTCTATGTGTAATATCCTTAAAAAATGCTCCAATCTAGCCAAAACTGCAGCCAAGTTTTAAGTCAAATTTTAGCCTATTAACACATTTATACTTTTCTAATTCACCTTCATATCTTTAAATACATATAGTCAAATCATAATCAAGCTCTTAATTGGGTCAATTTCACTTATTTTAAAAAATAAATCTATTTCTGCACAAAATATGACCAGTTTTCACCCTATAATTCATAGTTTCTCCAGAAATGACAAAAAAATGAAGTTACCAAATACCCCGAAAGTAGTAAAATAAGAAAGTACTGATTATTTCCTGTCCATATATGTATCATTCATGAAATTTTGTCTATGAATAAAAAAGTTATAAGCCTTTACACTCCTATATAGAATCATTTGTTTCAAAGCAATTTTTATGCCAATGCAAATTTACTCATCTATGACGTCACAATGACATCATAATAATGGATAGCTCAATACATGTGTATCATCACTTTTCCCGTACTTTTCATGTAAGACAAAATCAGTGCTAATATATTCATGTTAACAATAAAAAATAAAATTATAAGGTTTTGCAGATTAAATAAATAATCTACTAAAATTGTTTTGTTTCCATGGTAACCAGTTTGTAATTTGTAGGAAAATGAGACAAAGTTTTGAATTTCCGGACAAATCGCTTAATTTTGACAGTCAAATATTTATGAAATTTCAATTTTTATATCCGTGTAATCTTAATAATGCATGATTTACAAAACAATGGTGTATATCTAATTAATATGAAATTCTTACATAAGAAAAGAAAATCAATATGAGCTGCAAAATGTATATAGCAGTGCATGTACAGATTAGTTATAGATTTATAGATTAATACTTTCACATTCAAATCACCTATTTAATATGTACATTTCCTCACCCCCAACCCTCACCCCACCCCCACTTCAATGATTTTTTCTTTTTTAGAAAACTTTAACTTACACATTTTGCCGACTGTCAGATTTTGCTGGTGATGTTTCTAGATGTATTCACATGGGTGTGTATTTGCTGGCCAATAATTTTAAACACCATCTGCATGAACCTCATGGTTTTTCTTTACCAATCGCCATGAACCTAAAAAAATCAATAAAATAAATGGCACAATATCACATTTGCAGACAGACACACACACAGACATTCAACACATACAATTTGACCATATTCCTTTTATGCCCATAACTTGAAATTAATTTAAAATGATGAATTTGCTCCCACTTGAAATCACACTGTTAACATTGGTAATTAAGTTATAATTAATTCAGCAGAATAGGTAAAAAGCATGTTTTACTGACAATAATTGTACTTTCAACAAATACATGTAATGCAATTGCTAAAAAATATGAGAAAAAATCAGTTAATTTGCATGTTCACACACATCGTTTAACTCCCAGACAGCTGTACCCAGCTTGACCGCGCAACTGATCTGAAATAGTATGTCACATACGTGACGTGTCGATCATCATCTTCCAAAAAACATTAAATTGCTACTTACAAATACTGTACTAAGGTATACCTCTTACATCCTGTGTAAAATACAAATGCCCATCACATATATACTGATAAACACTGCACTGAACAGTTTTGATAACTTTCTGCTAAGTCTACTTTCACTTCGACCTTGACTCTGATTGAATACCGATCCCGACCTCATTTGTGAATTTTTGTGTATTGAAAATAAACCACAGTGGAGCATGTACTTCTACATAACTGCTTCCTAATCAATTTACATATTTATGATTCTGAATAAATAAATTATATAAATCGATACATTTAATCTACATGATACATGTGTAAACAATGGGCGATACATGTACGAGGATGTACGAGGAGGGGGGGGGGTGTTCTAGACACTTAATTTATGAATCAACAATTTGATTGAAAATGTGTATCAACAATATAAGAATTGTTTTTTTTTTCATAAATTTGAACAATTGAAAATATTAGAAAACACCAACTTTGAAATAAATTCAAGATCTATGACATCTTTCACTTACTTATAGGCTTCCCAATATGGGTACAGTCCACTAATTGTTTTCCCATAGGCGACAATGTTAACGTTTCGTCTCATAGCGATGTCCCTAATTTTCGTTCAGAAATGAGTGACCCCTCAAATCAAAGCACATCAACTTGTCTTTCCTTGGTTAAAATCTCGAGGTGGCATGTCAGATTCGTTTTCCGGCAAAATGCGTCTGTCTGCGGGAACCTCTAAAAATGAAAGTGAAAGTAGGGGAATTTCAGAGTTCTCACTGGGTTATAATACATAAAATAATTCGACTGATCTTCTTGATAAATTACATTTGCCAAGCTTTTTTGGTAGGAAAGATATTCCTTATCAACAAGTGTGAGGCTCGGTTCAGTACATCTGCCCATTTTTTTTATGCTAGCCTGCAAATTAAGGAACTTGTAATTTTTTCTGCACTACTTTCTTCTCCTACCGATTCTAAAAATAATTAGTGGGATGTACCCAATATGAAAAAGGATTTTTTTGATTTGACAATATTTTACACTGTTTGTCAATCTAGAGCATAAGAAGAGGCATCATGCCAAGTTTCATGAAAATTCAACCATTAATTAAGATTTTACAGCTTTTAAAGTTCTATGTGTAATATCCTTAAAAAATGCTCCAATCTAGCCAAAACTGCAGCCAAGTTTTAAGTCAAATTTTAGCCTATTAACACATTTATACTTTTCTAATTCACCTTCATATCTTTAAATACATATAGTCAAATCATAATCAAGCTCTTAATTGGGTCAATTTCACTTATTTTAAAAAATAAATCTATTTCCGCACAAAATATGACCATTTTTCACCCTATAATTCATATTTCTCCAGAAATGACAAAAAAATGAAGTTACCAAATACCCCGAAAGTAGTAAAATAAGAAAGTACTGATTATTTCCTGTCCATATATGTATCATTCATGAAATTTTGTCTATGAATAAAAAAGTTATAAGCCTTTACACTCCTATATAGAATCATTTGTTTCAAAGCAATTTTTATGCCAATGCAAATTTACTCATCTATGACGTCACAATGACATCATAATAATGGATAGCTCAATACATGTGTATCATCACTTTTCCCGTACTTTTCATTTAAGACAAAATCAGTGCTAATATATTCATGTTAACAATAAAAAATAAAATTATAAGGTTTTGCAGATTAAATAAATAATCTACTAAAATTGTTTTGTTTCCATGGTAACCAGTTTGTAATTTGTAGGAAAATGAGACAAAGTTTTGAATTTCCGGACAAATCGCTTAATTTTGACAGTCAAATATTTATGAAATTTCAATTTTTATATCCGTGTAATCTTAATAATGCATGATTTACAAAACAATGGTGTATATCTAATTAATATGAAATTCTTACATAAGAAAAGAAAATCAATATGAGCTGCAAAATGTATATAGCAGTGCATGTACAGATTAGTTATAGATTTATAGATTAATACTTTCACATTCAAATCACCTATTTAATATGTACATTTCCTCACCCCCAACCCTCACCCCACCCCCACTTCAATGATTTTTTCTTTTTTAGAAAACTTTAACTTACACATTTTGCCGACTGTCAGATTTTGCTGGTGATGTTTCTAGATGTATTCACATGGGTGTGTATTTGCTGGCCAATAATTTTAAACACCATCTGCATGAACCTCATGGTTTTTCTTTACCAATCGCCATGAACCTAAAAAAATCAATAAAATAAATGGCACAATATCACATTTGCAGACAGACACACACACAGACATTCAACACATACAATTTGACCATATTCCTTTTATGCCCATAACTTGAAATTAATTTAAAATGATGAATTTGCTCCCACTTGAAATCACACTGTTTACATTGGTAATTAAGTTATAATTAATTCAGCAGAATAGGAAAAAAGCATGTTTTACTGACAATAATTGTACTTTCAACAAATACATGTAATGCAATTGCTAAAAAATATGAGAAAAAATCAGTTAATTTGCATGTTCACACACATCGTTTAACTTCCAGACAGCTGTACCCAGCTTGACCGCGCAACTGATCTGAAATAGTATGTCACATACGTGACGTGTCGATCATCATCTTCCAAAAAACATTAAATTGCTACTTACAAATACTGTACTAAGGTATACCTCTTACATCCTGTGTAAAATACAAATGCCCATCACATATATACTGATAAACACTGCACTGAACAGTTTTGATAACTTTCTGCTAAGTCTACTTTCACTTCGACCTTGACTCTGATTGAATACCGATCCCGACCTCATTTGTGAATTTTTGTGTATTGAAAATAAACCACAGTGGAGCATGTACTTCTACATAACTGCTTCTTCATCAATTTACATATTTATGATTCTGAATAAATAAATTATATAAATCGATACATTTAATCTACATGATACATGTGTAAACAATGGGCGATACATGTACGAGGATGTACGAGGAGGGGGGGGGGGGTGTTCTAGACACTTAATTTATGAATCAACAATTTGATTGAAAATGTGTATCAACAATATAAGAATTGTTTTTTTTTTCATAAATTTGAACAATTGAAAATATTAGAAAACACCAACTTTGAAATAAATTCAAGATCTATGACATCTTTCACTTACTTAAAGGCTTCCCAATATGGGTACAGTCCACTAATTGTTTTCCCATAGGCGACAATGTTAACGTTTCGTCTCATAGCGATGTCCCTAATTTTCGTTCAGAAATGAGTGACCCCTCAAATCAAAGCACATCAACTTGTCTTTCCTTGGTTAAAATCTCGAGGTGGCATGTCAGATTCGTTTTCCGGCAAAATGCGTCTGTCTGCGGGAACCTCTAAAAATGAAAGTGAAAGTAGGGGAATTTCAGAGTTCTCACTGGCGTTATAATACACAAAATAATTCGATTGATCTTCTTGATAAATTACATTTGCCAAGCTTTTTTTGGTAGGAAAGATATTCCTTATCAACAAGTGTGAGGCTCGGTTCAGTACATCTGCCAAATTTTTTTTATGCTAGCCTGCAAATTAAGGAACTTGTAATTTTTTCTGCACTACTTTCTTCTCCTACCGATTCTAAAAATAATTAGTGGGATGTACCCAGTTGGTATGCCAAAATTGACACACAAAATGCCAAAAATGCCAGCTATGAATTACAAAATGCTAATAAAGTGGTTCTATAATTACTACAGATGGTAGGGACTCTAACTATGAATTACAAAATGCCAATAAAGTGGTACTATAAGTTACAAAATGCCAAAGATGCCAGCTATAAGTTACAGAATGCCAATAAGTTGGTATGCCAAAAATTAAAAACAAAATGCCAAAAATGTCAGCTAGGAATTACAAAATGCTAATAAAGTGGTACTATAAGTTACTACAGATGGTAGGCACGCTAACCCCTAACCCTAACCCTGCCTTTTGACTAACAGTTCCGATGTTAACGTTCTTTGTGTCGTTGGAAAGGTCTTGAAGAGTACTGTACGCTGGCGACATGAAATTGTCGTTCAAGGGAGCAGAAAGTCGAATAACAAGCGATATTTTCAAAAGGCTTGCAAACGGCAAAAATTCTTTATTTCGTGACGGATTTTCAGGTTCTCGGGCTTGTCAGAGAGCTCTTGACGAGGTCTATCGAATGCCGTAAAGTGTAGAAAGGTCAAGCTATTTTCTGGGGCTTTTTAGAGCAAATGTTGCCTAGGTGTACGCACGCAGCTGACGCAGACTTCTTTCAACCCTCGCAACTTTTCCCGTTTTTGATCTTTAACAACCATCTTCAAATCATAGACAGAACTTGCCAAAAGCTTTCCAATGACGCCAAGACTTTGAAAATTACTCGAAAACTAAGAGAGATACGGACCTTTCAATTTGGTGTCTTTTTGCAACCCATTTGGAGCAGTTTTGGGGAATTTCAGCGAGAGAGGTTCAGGTCAGGGTATAGAGGCCCTTACAAAACCCTCAATGAGAAGAAGAGTTCCCTTTCGTCCCAATTTTCTGACTACTGAGGACGTTGCCTTCCTGTCCCTCCGGAATTACGGCACTTTCTCTTCAAATGCCCATAGGTTGCACGCCCTTGGGACTAACAGGCTGGGCTTTGGTGTGTGGATTCCTTGAGGTCTTCTTCATCATTAATGTAAGAGTCTAGGGCCTCGATCTTGCACTGTTTAAGCGCTATCGCCCGAAAAAGAACTTAGCGCGGAACGCAATTTTACCCAGTCTCCGAGCATAACCGTTTGGGGGGACATGAGCAGCGTCTACTGAAAATTCCTCGGCAACGTGGAGGTTGTCGAGATCTGACCACTTTAACTTGTCCAATCCCTGTTTCAAACTTTCTAAGACTTGTGTACATTTTCCGCATGTTTAGTCCTTCATATATTTAGAGAGAGAAAGCAGATTTGCCAACTCTTTGCAGCTACCAAGAGTCTTTTTTTAGTGTGTCTCACATTTTACTCCCCTTTCCTGACACTTATGTTTTATGACTCTGATTTAATCGTGTTATTCGATTTCTTAGCTTTCCAACGCAGCCAAACTCGTGTTGATCCGATGATAAATAAGAAAGTTATGAGTTTCGGAAAATTCTACTTTTTCCTTTACTATTGCTACTATCAGTGACTTTCACTTTCACTTTCTCTCCAAGACTTTCACTTTGACTTTCAGTTGACCTAGATTGGTCATCTTCGTTTTTAGCCCTATTCTTACTCCAAACCCTAACCCTAACCCTAATCTCTTAATTCTCATTGACCTACTTCGGCATTTAAATCCGTGGGCATTTTCGTTTTTATCCCTTTACCCTATGCTTTAACCCTAACCTTAACGCTAACCCTGACCCTACCCTAACCCTAACCCTGATGTTTTATGTTTAGAAAGTGAATTTAAAGTAAGTTTACTTCAGTTAAGTAAACAAGATAAATATTCTCAGAGCATATTTAATTAGCAACGTTTCGGTACCAGTTTTATTTTTTGAATTTTTCATTTAGGTTGGATTCCTATCATTCTTGCAAAAAAAGGCATTGATGACGTTGGAGTTCCGCTCATAGGAGAGATGGCTTCATTTGAGAAGGAGTTGCTAAAAAGACAAGAGATCGTAGAAATCAGAGGAAAGGTATGTCTTGTACAATATAAAGTCCATTAAATTTGGAAGTAATAATCAGATTACACATCATACCATGGATGATTTTTGTTTGTAATTATGATGAGTAAAAAGCTAGCAAAGAAAAAACCATTGTGTATTAAACAAGTTAATATAATTGCAGACAGGACGAGGAGTACCAGTTCTTTTGGCAAATGATGTTTGCAAACCAATGATTTACCTGGAAGACAAACATGTTCGTGAAGGAGCTGGCATACTTGAATGCAATCCATACCTATTTGCCAATTCTCGTAAGTAAATGAGAGTTTGTCACTTTCAATGTAGTAACAAATTTCTTAAATAGCAGTTCCACTTTATAAAATTGGTGACAAAGGAAGAGTGGAAATATCAATATCAGTATCTTTAAGATGTCAAATTTGCTACCTGTAGATATTTTAAATGTTATAACTTTATGTGTACAAGTTTTTATCACTCCATAAGAAACGTCTCCAGTAAATGGAAATAGCTTTGGGATGAAACTGTTCATTTTACTGTGAAGTCAATTTGTTGTGGGAAAATATGCTTTATGGGCATTGTAATGTGATTGTACGTTTTCAAAAGATGAGTCTTCACATTGATTTTTTGCAACATTTATGAAATTTTAACAGGTGTTGAAAGATCCACTGTGTGTACATATAATCACTAAAATTGACTTCTAGTAAAATCCTTGTTGTTGATATATTTTCCCCCATTCAATGCTTTAGTACATGTACATACCATGCAAAAGGGACAGAAGAGAGTAAGACATAACAATAAAATGCTTTACACAAGAAAAAGTTAAACTGTGCAAACAGATTATACATTAAATCATTTATTTTTCTAAGAAAGCAACAAACCAGAGCAGAGTCTCAAATAAGTAAATGTTTATTGCAAGTGGAAAAGATTTGCAGTACAAGAAAAAATTGTTCTTATCATTTTTTCTTTTGATAGAAGCTGGAGTTTTCCGTGCATATGATTCCATCAGAAGTATTATTTAACTTGCTGGCTTATCCAACCCAAACCTCATCAAAACAACCAACATGAGAAAGTATATGGCAACCATGCTGCAGGTAAATTGCAATATATTTTAAATCAGTACCTAACAAATTGTGGCATGTGGTTATAAACACTTTATGAATGAAACAAAGTAACATTTGCTTTAACATTTCTTTGTATAGTTTGGATACCACTGAAAATCGTTGACCATTTAGGACACACTATGAACATCCACAAGCAACATTATCGTCAAACATCTGATATTCTAGTGAGAGTAGAAGTTACCAAATTACTTCTGATTCAAGATTTAAACATGGTACACAGGGAAAACAGTTGAAAGACATTTAGATTAATAGTTAGTACATGTAATAAATGCCCACAGAATAAAAACAGCATTATTATTACACAATGAATTAAAAACATACTTTTGAAAAAAAAATCAGCATTTTCAATTGGAAAATAATATATTGCACAGATTTCTTTTTTACAGATATAGTAGGAGTGGAAAATTCAAAGGACACCCTTCCACCAGATCCACCCTTGCCCTTGTCATTGCCAGTGCCTTCCCCTGATAATGAGGTGGAGATACCAGAATAAGAGTTCTTCTCAGAGGACGAAGAAGGATCCGATTCAGAAAGCCGAGCTAAAAAAGGTAAACAAAGTTGGAATTTTGTTCGGGATCTTACTTTATTTCATTCAGTTCAAGTAGGGAAACAAAATACAAATTTTTCTACATGCACATACTGTAGAAGTACTTTTCTTTCATGTGATACGCTATGTACGTGGTCACAAATTTTCCGCGAAAATATGTCCCATTTTACTCAAAATACTTGTAAAGAATATAGTAAGTAATGAAATTTGCTTTGCAAGTTAAGTTTTGTAAAGAAGTTTTTCAAGCAGTGTTGCCTCCCGTGCGATAAGGTAAAATGGGGAGATAGAGGCCTCGGGGTGGTAAGACCTGAAAGTGAATGAGCCCGAAATAACTTCTCACGTCCTGGAACTCGTCTGTGATGATCTCAGGATGGCTAAGAGGAAAAGGTCTGTGTTTGAGTACGTACGGGTATAAAGAACAAACGTCCACATTTCTCATGTCCCCTTCCTCACAATATAATCGTGTGGCATTGGTCCGGTCTCTGTACAGGGGTTCAAAGGATCGGGAATGTCCAGGTCTCGTGCAAAATGCTGTAAACTCACATCTCTTTGCACTTGCTGATCGAAATCGTGCTCCCAAATGCTACGGATTGTGTACCCCATGTCCTACACGACGGAACTTCTTCTCAGGGTTTCTTCGTGTAATTTTGGTAAGTAAACTGGTTTCGGTGAGGATGAATTTCGGTCTGTAGATTGGGATAGCATGTGGTGCATCCATGCCAATAGCAGCCTTAAAATTCGTAGACGGTGTGAGTCGCTTCCTGGTATCCGTCGACGGTATAACTTCCGATCTTGACTTCGCCCCCGTTTCTTGCATGTCGTATGTGACATCCGCTCTGTTTACTCATCCAGGTGAGCCACTGACAGGCTTTGGCGGAATATTGTCGAGCTGGTTGATACCCCAGGTTCGGAATGATGACAGTGGTCTTTTAAGCCATGAATCCTCGAGGGTAGGCTAAATTGGCGAACGTGATGGAATCCTGGAAAGGTCGACACGCATCAAACTCTTGAGGGTGGCTCTAAACTGAGCACAGCATCGTCGTAAAATATCGACGTCTGAAATACAATACTCTAAAAACTCTTTCTCGAAATCAAACACTTTTCCGGTCTGTTGTTGGTACCAATCGAAAGAGGCCTGTGTTGACAATGAGGA